TTAAGTGATATAGCCTTATGGTCTGTAAATATACAAGGTCTGATATCAGTATGGACTATTTCGCCTCCTGTATGTAAAGTGTTTGAGACAACCCAATAGTCAAGTCCTCTGTATATATTCTTCCTCCTCCAAGTAAATTGGGTTTCGTTTTTGTAGCAATGCCTCCATATATCTATTAATTTATGTTTATGTATACTTTTTTCAACACCAATGGTGAATTATCATAATTTGGTATGCTGTTTATTTGATCTACATTGCGGTCTAACACACAGTTCATGTCACCTCCCATTACTATGTATTCTTCCTTTTCATTACAAAGACGATCGATTTTCTTATCAATTTTTTTTAAAATAATGATCTTTCTTTATAGTTGTTTGGTGCATAAACATTAACTAGGTTAATTTTTTCCCCATTATACTGTAAACGTAAGATTAAAATTCTACCCTCTTCATCCACAAACTTACAATCAACATTTGTATCACTACATGACTTAATCGGTATCGAGACTCCTCTACTGTTAGTTGTCCCGAAGCTGTGGTATGCCTCTCTTTTCCAAAACTTATTAAGACAAATAACTGACTTTTTGTCAAAATGCGTTTCTTGTAACAGAACAATGTCTGCGTTCTGTTCCTCTAACCATTTAAACATTTTCATTGTTTTTATTATTATCTCTCAAACTTCTATCATTTAATGAAATTAAATGTAGAGTAGTATTTTTTTTTTTGTTTTCTTTTCATTTAAAATTTTTAGGTATTTTTAATTTTTATTTTATATACAAAATACGCTAGAAAATTGTATCGCTGTTAGCAAAGGAACAGACGAACAGGACTAATTTACAGAATCTGATTTCTTTTCCTTCTTCTCCGCATTTTTTCTCCACTTCCTTAAGTTTTTTCCTTTTGGAAGCAGCAAATGTGTGTCGGGCAGTTGTGGCAGTATCAGCGTTAATATTTGTAGATGCTTCTGGCTTATCTGCGGTGACGAAGTTCAGCATTCCTTTTATGGCTTTTTCTATTTTCTCGTGCTTGTCTTTTTCTTTTTTTGCTGCTTGTTTTTTTTTTTTCGCGTTGTTTTAACTTTTTTTTTCTTTTGAACTAATGCTAAATTCCTGGAACCGGCAGAGGAGTACTCCTCTTGGCTAATAGATTTTACTCTATCGATTGAGTCTTTCATTATCTGTTGTACTCTTTCATCCAGTTCGAAAGAGTCCGGATCGGTTCCTGGATTGGCAGGTTTGTTAAGTAATTCTTCAAGGATGCCAATGACGTTTTGTGTGTCATCGCTTGCTACTTCTTTAATTTGCTCTTCTTCTGAATCACTGGAAGTGCTGCTAGCATTCTTTTCCTCCCCAATTTCAATTACTACAGATTCGTTTTGATTATCACATGTTTCATTTCGTTCAGAAATATTTTCTAACTCCACCGTTTGCTCAGGTGTGTTTTCGTTGCATTTTTTTGCAACATGACCGGTTTTATTATACATGTGACATATTGTGCGTTTCAGCTTCATTGGGCATTCATTCACTCTGTGGCCTGTTAATCCACATTCCAAACATGTTATTTCTACTTTCTGGTCTTTGTGAAAGAGTCTGGCATTAAAGTTATTTATTCTGAGGAATATTGGGAGACTTCCTTTAAATGGCTGGACAAGCACAGCTCGGTCTCCATTCAGAAATCTGGAAAGTTTTCCATTGATTCTGAACTTAATGAACTGTATCTCACTTTGCACCTTACATCTCTTTTTTTAAGGCGTCTGTGATTTCATCATTTTGTACCGACAAAGGCACGTCTTTTACTAGAATTCTTGTTTCATATTCATTCCTGATAAGGTATGGGTTAATGTCATACACACTAATGAATTTTCCGTTTATGTTCAATCCTGATGTTATTACTTTGACTCGTTCTTTGTGGTCGTCAATATTCTCCAAAGGTTTTTGACTTTCTGGGCTTCTATTAGATGGTCACAGTTGATGACATCGTTACATGCAAAGTAAAACAACTCTTCTTTTAGGAAATCTTCATTTTTCCCTCTAATTTCATCGTCTTTTACAAAGACGGGTTTAACGTTCTGGCTTCGATCTTTGATTGTAGCCATAGCAACTAACGGTTTACTAGAACAAAGGCTTGACAAACCCTGTTCACTAGAGCGTGTACTATACCAACAGCTAGCTTGGCCCGTTGTTAGGGTAAAGAAAAGGTCTTACCGATCACTTTTACTGGTCAGTTTTGGCGGGTTGATAAAGCATTGAATTTTGATGGTTGGCTTAGTTTAAAAAAAGCATTTGGTTGTTCCCAAATCTGTAATTTTTCAGTTGATTTTGGTCACACTGTCTTGACAATTAAGTATTCCTGAGTTGATTTCAGATTTTTATTCGCAGAGGTCTAAGAAAATACTGAGTATTACATTTCTGAAATTGTTTTCGTTAATACTGTTGTAAATTCTTTATTGGAGTTACAGGCATAAAAAAAAACCACAATGTCGTCTGCATAAAGTACAGTTTCACATGTGCCCTCAAACACTATCCTGCAAGCTATTTATGTATAATAAACAGTAAGGTGCCAATAATTACGCCTTGGGGTACCCCATAGTCGATATTTAAAGATTGAAATTGTATTGTCATTAAATTAACAAATTCTTTACGATTTGATAAGTAATTACTAGACAATGCAAGCTCGGTGTTCATAATTCCAATAAAGTGTAGGCCTAATTTATGTAATAAAATATCGTGGTCTACAGTATCAAACTTTTGTAGGTGAAGAAAGATTGCACCAGTTACTATGTCACTATCATTATTTTTGTAATTATAATTGCAGATATCTATCAATGCAGTAGACGTTGAATGGAACGACCTGAAACCAGATTGAGTTTTAATAATATCAAAATCATTAATATGATTCGTATCTTGATTATGTATGCATCTTTCAAAACTTACATAACAATTGGCGTCACATATATAGGAGGATAGTTGTTAAGCTCATGTTTACAACCTTCTATGTAAAGTGATGCAATTTTAGCAAATTTCCATTTACTTGGGATAATTTTTTATTTATTTATTGCACATCCAACAGTGTATACACCAATTACAGGATGAAAATATAAAATATAAAAACTTACACAATATTTATTTTAAAGACTCAAATGTGATAGACTTAAACTGAGAGAAACTACAATGAAAAATATCAAATTCAGGATTATTACAAACACAATTATTATAAAACGAAGACAGTCTACCAAAAAATAATACAGTCTACCAAAAATAATACCAATTATCAATGACCAGTTAAACAAAAAAGCAAAATACTAAGGATTTGTGGAGATGCAAAAAGTAACCTAGCGGAAATCCCATCAACTCATGTAGATTTTTTACATATTTTTCAAAATAAAACTTTAATATCATGTTTGCTTATAGGCCTATCTTTAAATTTAAAACGTTCTTGAAAATCCAACACAGATTCATTGAAAAATTTGCCTTGATTTTCATTAAAATGTGACGAAAGTTCACATGAAATTAAAGAAAAAATATTTATTAAAGTGGTTAGCAATATCTGTTGGATTTTTTATTTCATTCAGTTTCCTGCTTTTTAATGGGTAGGTATTCGTTTATAGTTTTTCATAATGTTTTGTTTACATTTTTGCTCTTCTATTGTTTATGTAGTTACGCTTTAATGACTTTGACAAATTATTCAGTTTATTCCTTGTTTATTTGTAAGAGTCCCAATCACCCATACTTTTCGTTTTTCTGCTTTCTGTTTTTAATAATTACAATCACGAGGAAGGGATGGAGGGTCTATACCAAAGAAAATTTATGATTATGTCAACTCTAGAAGACTACTGATAATAACAATTTATTTTTATTTATTTATTTATTGCACATCCAACAGTGTATACACCAATTACAGGATGAAAATATAAAATATAAAAACTTACACAATATTTATTTTAAAGACTCAAATGTGATAGACTTAAACTGAGAGAAACTACAATGAAAAATATCAAATTCAGGATTATTACAAACACAATTATTATAAAACGAAGACAGTCTACCAAAAAATAATACAGTCTACCAAAAATAATACCAATTATCAATGACCAGTTAAACAAAAAAGCAAAATACTAAGGATTTGTGGAGATGCAAAAAGTAACCTAGCGGAAATCCCATCAACTCATGTAGATTTTTTACATATTTTTCAAAATAAAACTTTAATATCATGTTTGCTTATAGGCCTATCTTTAAATTTAAAACGTTCTTGAAAATCCAACACAGATTCATTGAAAAATTTGCCTTGATTTTCATTAAAATGTGACGAAAGTTCACATGAAATTAAAGAAAAAATATTTATTAAAGTGGTTAGCAATATCTGTTGGATTTTTTATTTCATTCAGTTTCCTGCTTTTTAATGGGTAGGTATTCGTTTATAGTTTTTCATAATGTTTTGTTTACATTTTGCTCTTCTATTGTTTATGTAGTCACGCTTTAATGACTTTGACAAATTATTCAGTTTATTCCTTGTTTATTTGTAAGAGTACCACTCACCCATACTTTTCGTTTTTCTGCTTTCTGTTTTTAATAATTACGATCACGAGGAAGGGATGGAGGGTCTATACCAAAGAAAATTTACGATTATGTCACCTCTAGAAGACCGGAAATGTCACTCTCAGATTTGAATGTACTGTAATTTTCCTTGTTTTTCTCTTTCCAATAATTTTACAATTTTTCAAAATTTAGGAGAAAGGGTGGGGGCGGGCAGACTGGACCCCCTTGAATTCGCCACTGGATAATACAAAAATATTAAGGTATAAAATAGACATAATAATAATAATAATAATAATAATAATAATAATAATAATAATAATAATAATAATAATGAAATGGATTTAGGTGATAGCCGACTTATTGTCTAGAAGAATGTACTGAGGATTATCCATGTTCAGTTCATGACTAGTGCCGAACGTTTAAGTACATTAGAGATTTATTAATTGCTAATGTGGATTTTCTTTACCTGTAGTGCATGAGTGTAACAACCAATTATCAAGGCAACCACCATTACATCCAGTTTCAAAATGACATGAGGCAGAATCACAATTGCAGGTAGAAGCACAGTAGTAGCCATAGCTTCCAGATTGGCAGGCTATACAAAAAATAATTATGAAACATTCTGTACATACTAAGAAGTAGGACCATTAATTGAAATAACTTGTCTCTGGCAAAACAGAATTTACTTGAATCAGAGGGACGGATAGTCTATTTTCATTGTGTGTTCAATTAGCAAAAATGGAAATACTCTAATTAGGTTATCCAGATAAATATTGACGAAAAAATAGACAACCTTGTAAAGCAAAAATTAGTAGGGGTTGTATGACCGATTTAAATAAACTCGAACCCAGTACCCACAACAGGGCTTATGACTTATAATGTAAGTTTCATCAAAACTAAGTAGTTTTTGTAGGGGTAAAGTTAAAGATAGTCCCGTATTGAACGTATAGGGGAATGAGCACATCATACTAAAGCCTGGTTTCCTGTCGACGTAAGAAGGCAGATTTACTTACTTTAATATAACAAATCTTATCACAAACCAAGGGGGGCATTTATACAGCGGGATTGAGGACCGTTTTATATCTCCTTTGTCACTTATGGTTAATCAAACTTTCCCGCGTACCGATGTTTTTTGTCCTAATGTTTTTTTTTTATTTATTTTTTTTTGTTTTTTTGTTTTTTTCAAAGTAGATTGTGTGACAAGCACCTCGAGGCCGCCATGGCACTTTAATGCAGTTTCTTAGAATTAAAATTTGGTGGTATGAAACACGAATGTTCAGGGAATGTTCGAAACATCATTATTATGTGAAACAAAAATACAAACATCAAATAGGCCTATTTGTATTTTAATAATGTAGGCCTAACTTCTTTGCAATAATCCATTTTATTAATGCTAGACGTTTTGCTAACAATTTTAGTGCAGCTCATATAAAGAGTCAGAGGCCTATTTTCGCGCGAAAAACCTGGGTACCAATGACGGGATTAGTGGGAATAAAGGCAGCCAATCGTAAGAACTACGAATTACGTCATGTTTATGTCGTCGTATCGCAAGAAAAATTCAACTCAACGTAAAGCCTGGTTTCCTGTCGACGTAAGAAGGCAGGTTTACTTACGACTACGTCGTAACAAAATGCGATTTCACAGAAAACCGATTGCGACTGGTGCGTTGTGAAACGATTTGATAGGAAACCGCGATTCAGTGACTTACACTTGAGTGATCATGCTTGCGTTGCCTTGTGTTACGTCTCTTCCAGTCCAGTGGTTGTATGAATTTTTAAAAAATAGTTAGGTCTATTAGGTTTAATCGGGAGAAATAATATATTCTAAATTGTGCAAGTAATAATTAGGAAAAAAGTGTTATTCCATGCTTCAATAAACGTATAATAACATAATACACCCATAGGTCTACACCTTTTTTTATAAGAACCAGAGCAATTTTTCCGAGGCTAAGTGTTCTTATTTTTCGGCCAATTTAAATCAAGCTCAAAATGTTTATTAATGCCTATCTAAGCTGGTCGAACGTTTCGTTTGGGTCTGTACCGTAGCTGCACTGATGAGGCCTGGAAGGCCGAAACGGATCAGTCTGCAGATATTGGGATTCTTTCCAGTGGATGCTTAGTTTATTTTGTCATTCTGATCGTATATAGTAGGCATTAAACATTTTGGGCTTGATTTAAATTGGCCGAAAAATAAGAACACTTAACCTCGGCAAAATTGCTGTGGTTCTTCTAAAAAGGTGTAGACCTATGAGTGTATTATGTTATTATATGTTTATTGAAGCATGGAATAACACTTGTTTCCTAATTATTACTTGCACAATTTAAAATATATTTTTTCTCCCGATTAAACCTATGGCCCAACTATTTAAAAAAAAATGCATACAACCACTGGACTGGAAATAGGAATGGTTGACAACAGATTTATTTCTAAACAATTCGCTTGGTATTATACGATTGTAATTGAAACAAATCCTTGTTTATTTTCGAATTCAAATTCAATATAGTAATGATAATAATAATAACAAACACAATTGTATAGGCTACTGCGTGGATGTGTGGCGTATTGGTAGACTACTCAAAGAAGCAAGAAACACAGAATGTTCATAGGGCCTATATTTTTTCTACTGTAGAACAATCTGACAAGTTTCAGCCACGTCAAAATATGGTACGTCATAAAGGCTACGTCATAATTCCCGTATCTGGTTGGCTGCTTCTTACGATTTCTGGTCCATAATGCTATGTCTCTTACGAAAGTTGACTTGGAGTCAACTTTCCTAAGAGACGTAACACAAAGCAACGCAAGCATGATCACTCAAGCATAAGTCACTGAATTGCGGTTTCCTGTCAAATCGTGGAAAATCGACGTATCGCATGAAAATTCAATACGACGGTTTCCTGTCCAACATTGCTTTGCGACGATTTAACCTTACGTTACGTCGATTTCACAACGCACCAGTCGCAATCGGTTTCCTGTCAAATCGCATTTTGTTACGATAAAGCGATGTAGTCGTAAGTAAATCTGCCTTCTTACGTCGACAGGAAACCAGGATAAAAATTCAACTCAACGTAACAGTCGCAAGCGCTCGTTTTTGGACTCTGGATGGAGTTCAACGTCGTAAGTTCAACTTTCGATCGTAAGAGGCTGAAAATTGCTGGTTTGTCTGCGGCCCAACACGATCAACGCAAACGTCGTTGACGTCGGCATTATTTCAACTTGAGTCGTAAGAAACGTATGAAACGTAAGAAATCTGACTTTTACGTCGACAGGAAACCAGGCAGCCTCGGTATTGTGTGGTAGGTTGACCAGTTTCTTGTACGCCGCCTCTGTTCCTCCCCAGTAGTGAACCACCGGGTACCTACGCCTGGGTCGAGACACAGTAGGTAAATAGTCTTGTGCAAGGACAAAAGCGAAATGCACAGCGAAGGTTTAACCCTGACCTCAAGGTTGAAAGGAAGAAACGCAACCGCTGCGCCAACTGCTACCACTCCTGCCTATATTGTAAAGGGGAGTGTTAAATTTTCTTTGAAATGTACAAATTTTGGCATTTCGGAGAATAAAATAATGTTAATTTATTTTTATACTTATATTGTAGCGGAACACATTTTTTGCCTCTGCAAATTCACCTAAGAATTGCTAATGAATAGTGCACTGGTTCCACCAATTTCCTCACAAATTCCCAACTTATAAAATTCCAAATACTCCTCCTGTTATTTCTACTATAATGATATAGTAGTATGGATCCAAACAATATCAAGAGTCAACGGAGAGTGAGGTGCGAGACGAGATAGGCCTACATAAAGGAGCATGACGCATGTGGATCAGTGACGGATTCAGGAATAAAGAGGCCCCAGGGAGTGACTTTCACAGACAAAGGGTCTATACCACCTCAGCCACACCATGGTTAAGACTGAGGTTTGAAAATGTATGATTATGGCATATTTTGAAATGTCACTCTTATATGCTCAAAATTTTATTATATTTTTTTTTTATTCTTTAAAATTTTGAAACATTTAAGGAGGGTGCGGCTGGCCCCCTATTTAGCCCGCCACTGGGAAAGGGGAAAGATGGGGTAGCCAAAATGCAGTTGGCTGTAACGAGACGATACGTTTGGTAAAACGAGGCTCCGCTCATGTTGTATTGAATGTGAGTGCGTGGCACTGGAATTTGGTGTCGTTTGGGGAGGTGAAAATTTATAAAGATTGTGGGGGCACAACCATCCTCAATTTTCTGTAGACTTTTGGACACGGACGCAGGTTGGGGAGAGGTATCCATGCTTATTGTATAGACCACTTATTGTCATAAAAGTAGGCGTACATTTTGTGACAGAACATGTAGTCTGATAACCTTGCACATGGAATACACTTGCAAAAACCTGTTAACGCTTATCAAGTCCGAAATTAGGCTAAAAACAAGTCACTTCCAAATACACGTATTGTATGCTAAATTCTTCATCTTATCTGAGCAAATCCGAATGTAAGCAGAGAATGCAGGACGGGTATGGCTTTTACGTCAAGTCATCAAAGTAACGTCACAACAATTTTATTAATTTTTATTTTGGCCTAATAATAATAATAATAATAATAATAATAATAATAATAATAATAATAATATGATAATAATAATAATAATAATAATAATAATAATAATAATAATAATAATAATAATAATAATAATAATAATAATAATTGCAATGTTTAAATTTAATAGGAAAGCTTCAGTATAAAATAATTCCCCAACACTACGTATTGCAGTTCCTAGTCACATCTCAAATGAGAGATAGCCTACATGTATTTTTTTGTGTATATCGAAAAAATGTCTATACATAACTGATATGACCACAGCGTTTCAAATTTGTTTTCGGTTGCTTTGCACATACTCTTCAGAGGGCGTTCAATGAACATTGCGTAAATATTTGGTTTCATAGCTTTATGTGTTTGAAAATTATTTTTTATATATGTTTATATATACCACTTTTTCATGTACTTACCTTCACAAAATAAATTGTCATATGTATGGTATCCTATTGCACACAGTCCATTACTACATACACCAGTATTCTTATCACATTGAACATTATCACGGCAATGGCAAATTGATGTACACGATGTGCTGAAATAGCCAACGGGACAAGTGCTTGGAACTGCAAAAAGGAAAAATAGGAAATCCATAACACAAACAGTTGAGTTGAAAAGAAAAAAAACATCACATGGATAAACTGTTATTAATTTAAAACTATTAGAATACAAGCCACAAGGTTTATGAGACAATTATATCGTATACAAAACAGACTGCGTTAAAAAAAAAAACACGTGTTTAAAGGAAAGGCATACAGGATGCAAAACATCCTTGCAGCAAAGAAGACTAATTTCTGCTGTGTTCTGTTTTTTATATAATATGGTAACTCTTATTTTATATATTATATATTTTTATATAGGCCTGTTTAATATGGCAGCACAAATATTTTTTTATGATATTATATATGGTATCATACTTTATTTTTAAATGCTCTTTTGTACTGAAAATTGTTAATAAGGCTCGCAAGTAATTTAGCTTTAAATGTTTTGACAATAAAGTGGGATGAATAGAGACAACTTCATTATTCTGAAATGGGTTTTCAATGTAGTGTATTTAAAATGATATGCACAATTGCCTTAATAAAATACATGCATTAGCAATTTAATTAACAGTACTTGAGCCGCGGCTCCCCCCTTTGTACACAGTGTTAAAATTTAAAAGCTTGTTCTTGAGACAATTCTTTCCTGGGATCAATCAAAATGAATACATCTAAAGCATGTAAATATACATCAGTTACACGTTATACATAGGCCTAATAGAACAGACATAGGCCTAAGCGTGATTTAAAAAAATCTTAAATCCATAAATCTCAGGCCAGGTCTTTAAGATATAGAAATGCGATACTGTATGGTTCAGTTTCGTTTTTATCCTTTTGCAAGTTTCTTTAAAGTTTTTTTTTAATAATACTACTACTAATAGTAATAATAATAATAACAATGATGATGATGATGACGATAGTAATAACTGATAATAATATTGATAGCAATAAAAAGTAAAGAAAATGTGCTAAGTGCGAAAAAAAATTGTGATTTGTTGATCATAATTATTATAGTATAGTTAAAGCTTAGTAATCTATGTTAGGCCTAAGTTGTCCTAGATAATAAGTAGATCCCTGATAAAAGATCATGAGAAATTTGTTGGCGTTTCATTTTGACTATATAATGGTGATGTGATGAGGAATTTTACTACATAAAAGTGTCATTTCTGGCCATCTATAGGTGTTATTTCCTCAAATTTTCTCACCTCAGCCCCAACCATGGTGGCAGGGGTGGCGCCAGCGGGAGCCAGGAGGCCAGGACCCCCCGTCGGGGAGAGTTGTCCACCCCCCGTCGTGGAGAAAAACCACAATTCGTCGGGGAGAAAAAAAATTATATGTGTATTTTCTGCATATTTAGTAGACTCTAACATCGATTAAATAAGGCTTTGAAGTCCCTAAATTGTCAAAATTTTCTGAGGCTTGCCCCGGGACCACTTTGAAACCTTTTAATCGAAGCTCAACCACGCCCACTTTGCTTTCGTCGGGGAAATCTGACCCTTCGTCGGGTGCATCGCCCCTCTCGGTGACCTTGGCTCCCCACCCCGGTCGGGCAGCTCCTGGCGCCACCCCTGCATGGTGGGGTTGAGGTGGTTGTGAAATCACGTTTTTGAAGTAGGCCTATGTAAAGTACATACTCAAAGACAATGTTTTTAAACTTTGTTTTCTTTGGTATATTATACACACATTAATAAGATCTCTATGGTTGTCAAAAATCCCTGACAAAAGATCATGAGATTTTTTTTTTTTTTTTTTTCTTTGGTGCTTCAATTTGACTAATGGTGATGTGATGATTTTTACTAAAAGTGTCATTTCTGGTCATCTAGAGGTACTATTTCCTCAAATGTTCTCACCTAAGCTCCAACCATGGTGGTTCTGAGGTGGGTGTCGACTCACAAAATGTCCTCCCCCTCCACCTTTTAAAACAGATCTGTGCCCTTCCCTGGGTATGACATTATACTCCATCGAGTCGGCTCCATATATATGTCTTAGTGACTGCTGAGGCAAGGGTCCATACATTTGCTTTTAGGATGTGATCTGGTTTTTCATGTCCATTTTTCGTGATTATGACTAATCTGGATAAAGAATGTTTTGAGCAGAGGTAAATTCAAGGCCCGCACCCCCCCCCCCTAATAATATTTTAAGGGAAAAAAGAAAAATATATTCAAATTTAAGTGTGAGAGTGTCATTTCTGGCCATCTAGAGATGCCCTAATCATAAATTTTCCAAGGTGGGGCTGAGGTGGGTGGTTCCTCGGTCTATGAAAGTCCCTCCCTGGCTCACTTCTCTTTCAAATTCCTGGATCTGCCACTGTTGATTTATTATGTAATTATTGTTGCGATTATTTATAATGCGTCTATTGCAATTTTAACTTTATCCTCTCAAAACGAACGTAAGAACGTTCAAAGTCCTACGTAATTCGCATAACGGCTCTCCCCCCCCCCCCCCTTTCAAAATCCTGGCTACGTCCCTGATACTCACGGCAGTTTTATAATGAAAGACTGAGATCCTATGATAACGCTACATCCGCACTGATTGCAGTACAACTTACATCATAGGCCTAGGGTAGTTCAGTCTTAATTCACGTTACACTAACATAATATACCAAGCTGTTACTTAGACACACATCTTAATGTTTATCTATTTATTATTTATACTAAGAAACCTTTTTTATGAAATTACCCATGTTTCTAAAAGTTCTACCATGTACTTCCCAATTAAAAAGAAAATCTGGCACTAAACAAAGACAAATTGCATGAAAATTATTCAAAGAGATATACTGTAAGTTGAATTTTTAAACCGATTTTACCGTAAAAGGACTTAAATTATTATAAACAAAAAAGCTAACAAAAAAAAAAAACAAAAAACAACAACAACAACAACAAAAACCCAGAAAATTACAAGCTATCACAATGATATTATACTTTTACTATTAAAAATATTATTTTAAAACGCTACCTTGACAGTTACTTCCAGACCATCCAGATGCGCAACCACCGGTACCGGTACACACTCCAGTATACTGGTTACAGAATCCTGATGTACAGTGGCATTCCTCACTACAACCCGCACCAAATTTGCCAGAATCACATTCTAATATTTGAAGGAGGTATTAAAGGACTACCGTCAGTTGAATGAAGTAATTTAATGGAAGAACACCTTGTGCATTCTTAACTATATAATTTATATTAAAAAAATCTTTGTTATGAATAATCCTAGGTCTACATATAGGTTAATGCAGGAGAATAACCCATAACTCGCAACGTCAGTGTGCTAAATCACAACCGTACTGATGTGCTTATAGGAGCTTCAAGTTCACATCATTCCTCAAAAACAATGTATTAACCATAGCTTAGGGGAACTCCCTACTTCGAAGTAGGTGTTTACATTGGATCTCCGTTTAAGTCCTTATCCGAGAAGACTATGTTCAACCAAACCTTGAGCAAAGAGTGGCTTGAACAAGCGCCTTTGCTAGAGCTGTACTTAGCGGCCAAACATAATCTGTACAATTACTGAACTTAGTCATATAGCTGCACTTTTGCCACGGTTCCCCCAGGAACCTAATCCGAATTTTCTTCTTGCGTTTTAACAAAGGATTGATTAAATTTAAATTTACACATTCATATTTACAATATCTGTATATAACCACATTCATGGTAGTCATGGCAAAAACGTCCTTGTCGAGGTCGTGGATAACGCTAATTCTACCGCAACCACACCCAAGATCAAGTCAACATCTACTTGGATCATTTTCATCATGCCATGTGATGGACATGGCAGAGTACAATGATTGTGCTAGAATCAAAGAGTATAGTATTAAATACGGGAAAGAACTAAATAAGAAAAATAACAACGTAAAATACGAAATTATAAATGAAATAAACCAACTTAATATAAATCTGATAAATAATCATTGCGAAGATGATGAAATAAAGTTGCAATTTAAAAAGAATGAACTTGAAAACATTTATCAATTAGAAGCCAAAGGCGCTCAAATAAGATCCAGAGTACAATGGATAGAACAGGGTGATAGAAATAATAAGTTTTTTTCTTGGACTTGAAAAATATAATGAAACAAAAAAGCAAATTAAAAGATTAAAAAAGTCAGATGGGTCATATACTTCTTCAATAACTGAAACACTTAGTGAACAAGTATGTTATTACTCTAATCTTTATTCGAACGATAATATTGACCAGAATGAATGCACTACACACTTAAATAACATAAAAACAGCGTCCTTGGCTGAAGAGGAAAAAGAGTCCTTGGAAGGGTAACTTACTTTACCAGAATGTGAAATTGCTATTATGTCAATGCATCTTAATAAATCTCCAGGCAGTGATGGTATCACTGTCGAATTTTATAGACATTTCTGGAAAGAAATTGGTCCCATCGTCTGCGAATCATTAAACTTTGGTTATACAAAAAATAAATTATCAATAACACAAAGGAGGAGTGTTTTAAATCTGATCTTTAAAAGGGGGAACGAGAAAGTCTTGATAATTGGAGACCGATATCATTACTGAACATTGACTATAAAATAGCTACAAATGTCTTAACAAAACGTTTGCAAAATGTTATAAAATCCATAATAAATACTGATCAAAAGGGATATACAAAAGGTCGATTTGCCGGAGAAAATGTACGATTAGTCCAGGATATCATAGATTATACAGAAAGAGAAAACGCCAATGGTGCCCTGGTTCTTTTAGATTTTCGAAAAGCGTTCGATTCAATCAATCGAGAATTTATGATGTTAAAAAGTATAATTTTGGAAATTCATTTATTAAATGGGTCGATACTTTATATACAAAGACAGAATGTATAATAACAAATAGTGGGTGGATTTCCCAATACTTTGAAATGTCAAAAGGAATAAGACAAGGGTGTCCCCTATTAGCCCTATTATTCATAATTGTAACTGAAGTTATAGCAACTGATTTAAGAAGTGATAAAAGCATAAGTGGTATCAGATTACCAATAACAGAAGTTAAAATTGCACAACTTGCCGACGACACAGTGCTGTTCGTTAATAATGATACTAGCTTAAACAAGAGTTTAAAATTAATAGAATCGTTCTGTAAAGTCACTGGAATGAAAGTAAACAAAAGCAAAACAAAAGGCATGTGGCTTGGTAGATGGATGAATAGACAAGACAAGCCATATGGTCTATGTTGGGTTACAAAAGAGCCTATTAAGTTTATAGGAATCTACCTCGGTCATGACCAAGAATTATGCGAACAAAAAAATTCGACAGACAAAATGTTTAGTATAGAAAAACTTCTAGACACATGGAATAAGAGAAACCTTTCTTTTCTGGGTAAAGTTTTAATAATAAAGACACTTGGTTTGTCAAAAATGATATATAATGCTAGCATTATTAAAACGCATGAAGAAATAATTAAAAAAACTAATAAATTAATTTTTAATTTTCTATGGAGTGGTAAAACAGAGAAAATAAAGAGAACAACATTATTTACAGATTATAAATATGGTGGCTTAAAAATGGTAGACTTCCAATCTCAAATAAAGTCTCCACAAATAAGTTGGATTAAAAGATTGCTTAACATAGACATGGGCAAATTGAAAGAAATACCATTGTTTTATTTGTCCAAAATTGGTCCTGTTGAATGTTACCTAAATATGTCAAATTTAAATGATCCAATAAGTACAATCTTAAATAAATTGCCTTCGTTTTATAAAGAAATGTTAGAGTCCTTAACTGTCTTTAACAACAAACAAAACAACTTCCCAAATCAATTAATGGCATTATAGAACAAAACCTATGGGGAAATGATTTAGTTGTCTCAAAAAACAAACCTTTGTACTTTAAACATTGGATTGACTCTGGCTTTGTGAAAATCAAAGATATCTTAAATAAAAATAATGTTTTGTCTACAAATACGTTAGTAAGAAACCTTTAAGAAAAAACAAAACTGGCTAGCCTAATTTTCCATGCTAAAGAATGTGATCCCATGTAAATGGAAAAGCATAATTAAAAATCAAAATCCGGACACCGCTCCCGCTACCAATATAGATAATAACACCCTTATTATAATAAGCAAATTATAAACCTAAGACATATATAAAAGTATAATTAAAACCAAATGCACATTTCCATCTACAGCGCAAATAAATTGGGAAAGAATATTAAATTAAAAAGTTGCATGGGAAAACATTTGGATAAAAAGGATCATCAAAACAAAAGAAAGGAAGGTCACACACTTTAATTTTCGATTACTACATGGAATTCTACCAACAAATATAATACTTTACAAGTGGAACGTCATAAATACTGATAAATGCGTTTTATGTAATAAAGTTGAAGATGAAAAACATTTGCTCTATGAATGTGTAAATGCCCAAATTGTATGGGATTCAATTAATAGATAATCACACCAGTAAATATAACATTTGATAATGTTATAACTGGAACAAATAAACAGTATATAAATAATTTCATTACTGTAGGCTCATTCTGTTTGTAGAAAGCAAAAATTCTGAAATCTCTGAAAAAGTGGAACATTAGTTCAATCCATACTCTGGTAATGAATGAATTACATTTGAGATACCAGATATGACATAATTTAAAAATTAACATTACACAACGAAGATATTTTATTTATGTGTGAATGTATTTCTTTTCATAAAAATAAAAGGAATACATTCATAAGAATATTAAAGACATAGGCCTAGTAAATCGACATGTGGTAAATGTATGATGAAATGTTTAACAGTTAAAACAAAATATAAGAAAACTGATTCTAGTATCACAATTACTGTTACCTCCTTAATTTCGGCGATGTAATTATTAGTTGAATGAACTTGTGTTTGTGTGTGTGTGTATATAAAAAAGTATGGTGTTTTTTTTTTACTAAATATTTACTATTGATGTTTTCTGTGGTTAAAATTGATTATAAAAAAATAATAATAATTTGATAGTACTGTTGTCATTGAATTATATAAATATTTATAAAAAAAAAGAAGGGAATGAAAAGAACTTGGAAATAAAAGGAAATATTGTATTGTTCCTTTTTAATGAAGATTGTTGAAATAAATGTGGTGGTTACGCCACGAAAGAGAGAGAGAAAAAAAGAGTACAATAATTGTGCTAGAAACTGTGACCAGTTCCAGCTGAAACAAATTATCTAGCAAGTGTGTGGAGACGATAAGAAGAAGACCACAGTCAATCTTTATTTACCTATATAATATATGCACCAAGATATCGAGTAAATTTGGAAAATATAAGCATCATAATTCAATTAAAAAAAATCACAGACAATTTCCATAAAATAAAATATATTTTCGTATCTATTATATGCACATTTATACAGTGTGTTTTTCTCTTTTGGTCAAAAAATATACTTCTCCTCCAAATGGATATTGGTTAGATAATTAATCAGCACAATGTAAGTTTCCTTGGCAATATTCAATTCCAAATTAATGAATTTGAACCATTTACACATTTATAAGTTTGGGTGAAAATAGACAATGTCTTGCCCAAGGACACAAGCAGTGTCACCACATCAGACTCAGACTCACGATGTGTATATTGAAGGTTTTGTACCATATGCCCCTACAGATAACTACATAAACAGTGAGGCCTACATGAAACGTAGATTTACCTGTTAAACAATAAAGGCCAGTAAAACCTGTTATACAGCTACATCCATATGGATCAGCCAAGCAGAATTGATGACCTCCGCAATTGTTTTCGGGATCACTACTTCTCGATGTACATCTAATTTCACAGTCAAGTCCGAATCGATTACCACCACAAGCTATATTGAAAAAAAATCAACAACTTATCAGTGAACATAATTATTTTTATTCATTGATATCATTAAAAAAAAAAGATTATTGTTGAATGTAGATTCAGATTCATATTTATTTACACAATGCATAAAGGTGGTAACAAGACAAAAATAATAAAGATTCAAGCAAAATCGAATGCAATTGTGTTTGGAGAAGTTAAATAAGCCCAAATAGTCTATGGGCCAAAACTCGAAACCCTCACCCCCTCGGGGGATTTTTGGAGACAAATATTTTTGGAAACTTTAACTATAGAGGTACCGAAATCTGGTTGTCTGCACGTTCGATAGTGGTGGGCGAACCTGTGAGAGCGCTTTTCAAAATGGCTGCTAAAATCTCAGAAAATTCATTTTGTATACAAAAAAAGGTCACTTAAAGGCTAATTAACTTGACTTCTGATTAGTAGTGCAATAATAAAGTATGATTGCATTAAATTGCACTTAATATGATGTGCCATGAATTCAAAAAAGAGGGCACTTTTCAAAATGGCCACCAAATATCAATAAAACGTACCTTTTTAAGCTTATACTTTTGATGACGCTATAAAAATGATTTACCTTGTCCATACCAAAGAAATGTTATCTGTAAAACACTTGAAATTTAGTGTTAGCTCTAGCTGCTAGTTAATATTAAATAGTGGAGTTCAGTATAAGTCCATTTAAATTGATATAAAGTACCGGTAGCAAATATACGTAATGATTTTGTGAAAAGTATGTTATTAGTTGTTAATTAGATTACCTGTTTCCTCTGCATTAAATATAATATCTGCCAAGTTTATTAATTCAATCTTCTCTTCCTCTTACTCTGATTCTTCAGGTTCCTCTATAAGTACTTCGGCAAGCTCTTGTGGCATACAGTAAGAGCACCTTAATTTTTATCTGTTTTTTGTATGTCTTTGTATTGTAAAATGTATTTGAGTGGATGCTAAATAAATAAATAAATAAAGCCCACTGAAACTCATGCCAGCAATTGCCAACTGGTTGTGGAATTAGGAACTGCCTGATCCTAATTCATCTTCAGGGCATTTCTGTAAGGAGGCAGAACTCATCTATTCCATCATAGCTTCAGTGCCTATAGCTTTCCCGGCATGACGCTGGACCTCTCTAGGAATTTGTCATGTCGCAAACTGTTGGCATCAGTCAAAGCAGATCTATTGTTAAACAAACGCCAAACAAAATGCTCTAAACTCGCATTAAAATGCAGTTTTCGATTACAGTTGACCTCCAAAGAATCATAAATACATCCATAAATTCTGGATTCTGTTTAAGGATCTTTAAAGGGGTCATTTCCCATACGGACAAAGTGTCGCATCCCCTAAATGCATACACTGCTGGAAGGGCATAACATATCATTCCCCACATTACTGATGACTGTGTACAGTCTGTCATTGCCAACACCTGTTTCAAATAAAATATATGGCTTGTTTCAATTTCTGTGTGTGATGAAGCAGAAGGATGAAGACCTCTGTGTCCGAAAATCGTATAATTACTGTGGAACTTTGTGGTGTGTGTGATCCAATGTGTAGGCAATGAAGGATAATATTGGTATCGCCTTCCTCTTGAGTAGATGACAACTCTTTAACTTCCTCATTAAATGTTTTCTCACCATCTCTCTACACCAATGCATTTCTTTTCACAGAGGAACATCTACACAAAGTCTACACGATTTAAAATAAAGATTAAATATGTATCAGTTTAGAATTGCCTTTTTTACAAGAATTCCATCATCCGTTGTCAGCGCCCACAATACAGGGCTAATGGAAAACTGAGCACCCTTTCCATACTAATGTCTTGCTTCATTGATGAAGTACAAGCCGCCCAAAAACATTTCTTTCTGCTTTTACTTGTTTAGTCGTCTTGGATTTTCCAGTAATCTTACAAGACTCTGCAAGATTTGCAAATGTCTTCTTGATTGGAGAATGAAAAGTTACTTTACTTTCAACTAACCTTTGTGAAATCAACCTGTAGCAAATCCTTTACGATCTCATTTTGTGCCGGTGCGCCAGAAGACAGAGAGAACATTCTTGTTAGCAACATCAAAGGGATTTATGAAGTTTACTAATGCCTGTACAACTTTGCAAGAGTGGCTTCTTCACTTTGGATAATTTGTGATGGTTTTAGACTTTGTTGACAGTGACTTCTTTGACTTCCATGTTGACAAAATCCATTGGCTTGTTGATAGCTAGCTATGGCTTGCCTTGTTCTGCACCACCTGCAATGGTTCTAGGCCAGATTGTCGAAATCCAGTTTGCCGAATGCCGGATTGCCACTTTGCCGAATCCCAGTTTGCCGAGTTTGTCGAAAGTCAATTAAAAGCAGTGAAACATTAGCAGCAGCCGAATACTCTCAATGGAGCACTATCTTACTTTTACCACATAATATATCGGTAGGCCTATATAAAAGACACTTTTTCATACAGATGAAATACAGAAACTTTTCCTTGATGAGCTTTGCTTGATGCAATTATTACATCATGTTCCTATTTAAGCAATGTTATTATTATTTATCTATTATATATATATATATATATATATATATATATATTATTACATATATATGTTATATTATATATAAGTTTAAAAGGCAAATGGAAAAAACCCATAAAACAGCAAACGGACATATAATGCAAAACAATTTAAAATTTAAATTAAAACGGAACAGTAGAGAAAATCAAAATAAACAAAATAAACTAAGCATCTACTGGAAGGAATCCCTATAACTGCAGACGGATCCGTTTCTGCCTTCCAGGCCTCATTAGTGCAGTCTTATACAAGAACAATGGGTCTCAAACTTAAACCAAATAAGTGCAGATCACTGTCCATTACCCGTGGGAAAGCTACGAATATTCCCTTCAGATTGGCTGACACCACTATCACATCAGTCGAAGGCGAAAGTCATAAATTCCTGGGTTCATTGATCACATTTAGAAATAAAGATTCTGATGTGTTCGAATACATAGAGGAAAAGATCAGTGAAGGTGTCGAAAAAATTGATAGCTCTCCAATCCGTTGTGAATACAAGATTCGAATCTATGCCCAATATTTTCTTAATAGCCTCAAATACCATCTAACTATCAACGATGTGTGTGCATCCCATCTTCAAAAGCTTGATGCTTTAACCAATCGGTACATCAAGAAGTGGTTTGGCATCCCACATCCTGGCACACTGGCTTCCGTCAAAATGCCTAAAGGACTGGGCATAGATTCGATTTCTTCTTTGTATAAAGAGTGTCACCTCACTGCTCATATCTCCTCGAGATTGAAAGGTGATCAAACCGTTAACAAATGTGTCGACAATCGAATCGCTCGAGAAAGTACCTGGACCAAAAAGATCTCTATCTCGAGGGAATGTGAGCAAAGGCTTATCGAAGCAAAGGAGAAAGATCCTGAATTTTAAAAAATAATGCCAAAAATAAATTAAAGAATGAGGTGCAAATGATGTGGAACGACCACGTGAAAGGACTCCTGTTCCAGAGACGTTTCTTTGACCTTCTTTCACTGGAACAGTCATGCCACCATTGGAAGAGTATAATTTATAATCTTCCAGTGGGTGTGCTAAAGTTTCTCGTAAATTCTCTTGGCGACACCCTTAACACACGCACTAACTTAAAACGTTGGGGAAAACTCACCTCCGATTTGTGTAGGGCATGTGGAAATGGGGGAACTTTACACCACGTCCTTAACAATTGTAAACAGTCCCTGGACCAGGGCCGACTCACGTGGAGACATAATAATATTTTAAATTATATTGTTAATATTTTAACGAAAGGCTTTGACGAAACGAGCAACCCTCCAAAAATCAAATCTGATCTCGAGGCCGGGGTCACTAATCATAACACCCGTTCAACCATCCCCTTGGAGTGTGCAACGACAACTCTGATCCCTGACCTCTGTCTGTTCTGGAAGGAATTAAAAAAAAAACTCGTCATTTTCGAGTTGACGGTTGCTATCGAACTGGGTATTGAGGCGGCCCATTCTCGGAAATATAACAAGTATGCACCTCTGATTAGGGACATTAGTGACTCCGGCTATGATGTCCAACTGATTTGCTTTGAGGTGGGTTCTCGTGGATATATTTTCAACCACTTAGAAAAGACTAGTTGTCTAAGGTTTTAGCATTTGCTATCAATTTTTTTATCAGCATTGTTGTTTTTCACTATTTTGCCTTTTAATTTATATATGGAATACGGCTTCTACCTGACCCACCCGTCATTTTTAAAAGCACAGTTTGCTGCGTTTTTGTACAATGGTAACAACAAGATTCGGGAAACTGGGTTTCAGCAAAACAGGTTTCGGCAAACCAGGTGTCGGCAAACTGGGTTTTTGGCATCGTGGTTACAAACACGGCAAATCGGGTTTTGGCAAACTATATTTTGACAAACTAATTGGATACCCCTGTAATACACCGAGTAGTTCTTGCTCTGGCTTGCCCTGTGGTGTACCACCTGTAATGCACCAAGTATTACCTGCTGAAACCTATAATTCCACCATGGGACTTTACAGGGTGATTGATTGTTCAATTGTGATGTCGACAGGATCTCTGGACATGGGGATGTCTGACCTCTTCACACTGAAGCCATTTTTTCCTAAGAGGTCTGCTCGTGTATGTGACTAGGATAGGTTAAGTGATAGCAAATATACAGTGGCATATCTGGTATAGTTCTGGTGACCATAGCTGAAGAACAAGCTACACATTTTGGAAAGCGCCATAGGTTTCAAATTGCAACTCAGTGATTCAGCTATGTTGCTATGTAGGTCTATGGCATTCTAAGCCCCTGATTGGCTAAAAGTTGTCTAACTGTTTGTACACATCCTTGCTACCCTTCTCTGGTTATAAATACACGAAGTGATGAATTTTTTTCCTTCCCTTTTAAAATTAGCATATCCCAAAAAATATTTAATTCCGGTAATAAATTTTAATATTTATATGAATAAAATTTAAAAGTGACAAAAAATAAACCCAGTGGCCATTTTGAAAACATCTTCAACGCTGACATTTTGGTGTTTCCTCCTTATTGATAACTTGATATAGTCTTGCTTATTATTAGGTGCCATCAGTTCTAAAAACAAATCAATTTTACCTCTTAAAGTGACTATTTTATGTCTTCTTATGGGATTTTAGCGGCCATTTTGAAAAGCGCCCTCAGAGGTTCACCCACCATAAGCAATGTGCAGACAACCTGATTCCAAACCCTCTATGGGTAAGGTTTCCAAAAATAGTTGTCTCACAAAACCCCCCGGGGGGTTGGTGACAGCCCATAGTCTAAAATGGCTTTCCGACTGGCTCCACCAGAGAAAATGAAAAGTAATTTGTTCCAAAATCAAAGACAAGACAAAACACACATACAAGGGAACAACGACAAAAGGAAAAACGACAAAGCTTTTTAAAAAAAAATAACATATATGGAATACCAAAACAACTCGTTTTGACTTACTATGTTCACAGCTTTCTCCTTTAAACCCTGGTGCACAAATACAGTTACCTGTTTTGTCCTCACATACGCCACCATTATAACAATTATTGCAAATACCTGTACATCCAGGTGCACCCCAGAGGCCAGTTGGACATTCTAAATAAAATATTTTTTTAACCTATTAATAAAATGCATTTAGGCTTTAACTTTATATAATAAATAAATAGTGAGGTTGGAAAAATCTAACACTATTATTTTAAAAAGGAAAAACATTAAGAGTCTACATGGTATTCATTCAAAATGTATTTAATCAGATATGTACACTCCAAACAGATTTCATTAATTTCATTTATTTTGTCTCAATAAAATACATTAAAAAACAACAACCGGTTACAACACAACAAAATAAAAGCATAAAAATCTGAAACAGGCCGAGACAGGATTCCTAAAAGTAAACCAAATCACTATCATGTAGGTCTCCTAACATGCACTATTCCGATTACACATAATAATAATAATAATAAAATGAACAATTGAAATAATACTTAAAATCTGTAAAATTTGCCTTAACAATAAATATGTATATATAAAAATTGTAAAACTTATTTAAAATATAATTTAAGATCGTTCAAAAATGCTTTAAGATTCAAAACCAATAAATCCCTAGTTTCTACAGGTAGTTCCTCCCAATCGCGTGGAAACAAATGAAACACAGAATATTTCAGAGAATTTGTTCGTTGCATATTGATGTACAAATTTAAGATGATCGCCGTGTCTAGAGTTGATTGTTATGTAATTAAAAATATTAAAATGATGCCATTAATTGTTGAAGGTTTTAAGCAATGGGATCCCAAATACCTCTTGTATATCCCAGACTAGAGTTAGTAGCACTGGCCATTTTGAAGAGGTACAGTATGCAGTCAATATGAGCTTAGAAAAGCTGAACATCAATTACTACAAAAATATTCTGTCTACAGCACTATGAGCTTATACCATGTTGTTTTTTATGTAGTCTCATCCCCTGGATCGCTCTTGTTATTTTAAAATTATTATGTTGTTATAAAATGTGCATATTGTTCCATTCATTATTCTCCACCACAATGAAGAAATATTTCAAACTTGTATTCGAGTAGGCCTACCTAAAAGGCAATAACCAACCTCTCACAATCAGTTGAATAAATGAATGTTTGTATTCATCCCTTTGTCCATCTATGTGAAGTTCATACATGCCGCCATCATCAACTTTTACACCGGTAAATCTTAAGCTCGAATCATCATAATGGTTCTCATAGTTATCTAGCAGTTCACCATCTTTCCTCCAAATGTGATTACCGGACGCTGTCACATCGAATGATACTACAACAGATTCTCCAACAGAAGCGGTGATACTTGTCTTTTCTTTTGTTGGTATAACATCAGCTGGACAAAAAATGGCTTATAAATTCCTACATACATAATTTTATCATTTCGTTATCATTTTCATTATTATCGCGTTTTTTTTTTTTTTTTTGGCTTTGGTTTTTTTGTTTTGTTAGGCCTATTAAAAAATAATACCACGAGCTATTTTGTCTTAGTAATTAAAATTGTTAGTCGCTTGCTTTCGTATGAATCCTATAAGAATCAACATTAGATGGGTAGTATGGTAATTCGAAGCCATTCCATGGTGTCTTCATCCAGGTCATGAAGTCATTGATTGACTTTTGGGTGGTATAACATTAGGGCAGTGGTAGATGATGTGGGCGACTGTTAATAAGAAAGAAAATTAAGAGTAACACAAGAATACTTACAATCAAAAGCGCTCGCTAGATCCACAACTGTAGTTTTCACGGTGGTTTTTTCACCATTAAGTACACCTTCACAGTAATATACTCCAAAGAAGTTTCCATCATAAGGTATAGCTACTCGTTTGGCCAAAGGAACATTTTGACTCTGATCTTGTAGATGTGGTTCAGCAAGCGAGTCAGAATTAGATATTTTAAATACCTTTCCCATGGATATTGCTGTGTTACTATCTGTCGGGTAGCACTGGAGATTGCCATTATTGTTAAAAGGTGACCTAAAATTAAGAACCGTTAAGTATGGATTGGCAGCACAACCTGTAATAAAAGTTCAAAAACATAATGTAAAAAGGGAACAAAATTTAACAATCTCTTGTTACTCTATTGTTTTCCGAAATCTGTTGGTTTGAGGTTGTAAAGCCATTTATTTTCGCTGCCCTATATTTTCGCAATTCTACAATAATATTAAGATTATTATTATTATTATTATATGAAATATTTTGCGACCTTTTATTTTCCCCATTTCACAATTTCCAGTCTTTTTTTGAACATGATTCAGAAACCTACATTATGGTTTTCCCGATTTTTCAAGCAATCTTCTACCTTCCCGATTTTTAGGCTAGCTTAGGCAGACCTACCTGAGCTACTCCAGTCTGCCTGTGTGGAGGCTGGACGAAGGGTTTTTTTCAAAGCAACATGTTAGAAGTCTTGCAAAAAATGTAGGCCTAATATTGATACGTTTTATAAAAAGACTGTAATATCCAGTTATTGTCTATTCCACCACGACAATAACAATTACTATCAAGACTGTAATAGTTAAATATCAATCAATTTGATTGATTTTACATGTTCTGATCCTTAAGGACCGTATCCTTGTCGGTATCATCCCAATTGGTCGAAATCCAGTTTGTCGAAACCCAGTTTGCCGAATTTAACCCACTTCATCTTCTTCTTCTTCTTCTTCTTCTTCTTCTTCTTCTTCTTCATCATCTTCTTCTTCTTCCTCCTCTTCTTTTTCCTCCTCCTCTACTTCTTCCTCTTCCGCTTCCTCTTCTTATTCTTCCTCTTCCTCTTCTTCTTCTTCTTCTTCCCCTTCTCTTCTTCTTTTTCTTCTTCTTCCTCCTCTTTCTCTTCTTCTTCCTCTTGAGTGGATTTCCCGTTCGATTAAAATCGAAACGGTACTGGGTTTGGTCTGCAGGAGCTCGTGTTTCGTAAGGTCATTCCATTCGTAGAAAAAGCCTTTAATGATGAATGCGTCCCTGTCATTAGCCATAGTAGCCTAGGTCAATACAACACCGGCTTTATAAAATTTATTATAAGATTGAAAATGTTAATTTTATCATGATAGTAATTAATATATCCACATTAAAATTATTGTTTTATACTATATTAATCTTAATAAAATATATAATTTTAAATATATATAAGAATAAAAATAAAAATAATATTATAATATGTTGTTTAAATAAGAGTATTACATTTACGTCAAAGAGACGGAATTTAAATATCCTTTCGATTAAAGATTGGCACAGATTGAAAAATAAGTAAATGTTTATTATAAGATATCAAATAAATATGTAATTATATATTGAAATGATATATTTATATGTATATATTACGATGGCCCACAAATTATGGTCTGTGTGCACGCTGTCTCTTATACACATCTAGATGTGTATAAGAGACAGGTGTAGTGTTCAATGTATTGTTCCATAAAGTCCAATTAATGGCATAATTAAAATAAACAGGACCCATTTGTGTAACTCGTGAGCTCTCGGAGGGGGGGGGGGGGGGTGCGGGGCGCTCCCACCACTGCCTAACACATTACTACCAGGCCTTAAGTAACGCATGTGCTTTCTGGTGGAAGTCCGAGTCCAAATGGGCCCTGGAAAGGTCACTACCTATATACTTACAGTAACACTGATACTCAGCACTCTCCTAAAACACCTTAACAATACGTAACATTTTCTATAATTTCCGAAAAATCCAAATAGACCAAAATCCCACAAACACAATATTTGGCAGATTTATTAGAAGGGGTTCTTTAAACTCTGCCCCTGGATGCCCCACTACTATGGAGGTTTGACCAGTTATGTAATGTCTGTGTGCTTTTCTAGGGAAACGCTTACTTCCTCCATGTCCAAATGATGCCCAGACTTAAGATACTGTACTACGGTTATTTTTACTACATATATTAGTTACTATATATTATATTCACTGACTTTGATAATACTTCTGACCCCTGACATGTCTTTTCATTTTTATACTGTTTATTGCTTATGCTTTAGTCCTTTTGTCTTAATTGTATGCTTGGATAATTAACTTGCTTAGGTCTATACACCAAGTTTATGTTAACTTCACATTCACCTGAAGAAGTGCACTGTGTGCACGAAAGCTTGTGTACTGTCATAAATAAACTAGTCATAAAAGTTTTATTTTCTATTATGTCCAAATGAGTCCCGGAAAGGCGATGGGCCCCTACTTACTACTACTGAGCAATCTAATAATACAACCGCTTTTGACAAAATATTTTCTTTAAATTTTTTTTTAAATGTATGAGCCCCGGACGGCTGCATAAATCCACCTCCGACTTTAAACATGTCAGTAAATAAAGAATAAAATACATGGTTATCCATCATAGTAGGCCTATTATTAAATATTATACACAGCATGTTGAAATCGATTAAAATAATGTATACATTAAAGGCCTACTAATAGTTCGGATATTCGGATGATAAACGCCTGTAATATCATCAATTGGACCTTAAAGGACGATCGGGTCATTTTATTCAGATTGGCCTTATCATGTTTCAGAGCAACATATTTTTTTTGGTATTAAAGTGACAATTTATTAAAAACAATCAATGAATTTTGTTAATCAAACGTCTTTATATTGATATTTTCAAGCCTATTAGATGACCTGAAGAAAAAGTGATCCAAAAGTCGTTGGCTTACTGTACAATATATTATGGCGAAAGTAAATTGTTGTCCGTCTCTGAATTTTAATAGTGTTACTGTAATAGAGCATATTAATAAATATTGGAATCGTACCTTATCGATTTATAACCAGGTAGCAGAGCAGCTTAGCTCAGTTGCCTAAACTGGTGGTAGCCTCTGTGTGCGCTAAAACGTGGGAACCTCTAGGTCTCCGATTCAAATAAAATAAAATCATTCTTTATTGCATCACTCAAAATGGGTTGAATTTTACAAAAGTAAAGGCTTCAAGCAAAAAAATCTAAACAATCAACATTTAAACATTTTTCAACAAATAGACCCACATCACAACAACAGCAAAAAGAAACAGGTTTAAAGGGCAAAAAGGCAACCAATATTAAAATTATTATTAATTATTATTATTATTATAATTATTATTGTAATTTTAATTATTGTAGTGAGATTATTATAGTAATTTTAATTACTGAATTAAAAATGAACAAAGCATACGCCTGTACAGGGAGTCCTTTCCAGCCTTTTGGAGGATAAGTTTTCTAAGATGGAAATTGGAAGGGGCTTTAGGAAGGTGGTGGTGTATTGAATTCCCATCACTGCTCTTCCTTGTATTTCAGTTGGAGGGTTGAAATGCAAGTTACGATAGCGCACCGTCTTTCGGATGAGACATTTAACCTGTTGGTCCCGTGTGCATTATGGTCTGTGTGCACGTTAAAGAACGCAGTATACTAATTGGAAATGAGTAGGAAATTGTTTCCCGATGTACAGTGGTGTAACGACTATGCGCTCTTATGCGCGCACCGGTAAGCAGGGCCCCCGTCACCTAGGGCCCCGAAGGTGCGACAAAACCATATTGTCCTCGCTCGGGCACCCTTACCCAAAAGGGCTTTGTTGATACATAACAGCATAATGTGTCTCTGAGATCGACTGTAAGACATATATCATAGTATATCCCGTGAAATTTTAATGGGGGCCCTGTCGGCCTAGTGGACCCCTTAAATTTTCCAATTGTTTTAAAAATGGAAATTATGCTCACATTTTAAATATATTAGTGCCGTTTCCGGCCACTTTGAGGTGCCGTATTCATAAATGATCTTACCTTAGCCCCAACCATGCTGGGGCTGAGGTGGCATAGGTGTGTGAAACCTCTCCCTACCCACATTCCCTCTATTTTGAATACCTAAATCTGCAACTGATATGTAATTTATTTCGTTGTTAAAAGCAATCTAGAATACAATGCCAAATATTAGAAAAATGAGCAAATTTAAATTCCCACAATCAAAGTGGTGACCGTATCAAAAAGGGGTCCCCAGTCTCAGAAAGCCACAGGGCCCATCGTTAGGCCATTGCCGGTGTAGTGCCCAATCACCACCAGAAGGACCTCACTGGAAACAGGTATTCTTCCGACTTTTGTGGGTTATCCTTGGTGTTTACACCGAATATAT